CATGAGGATGTTGGGTTCTGGAGGGTGGGAAGGAGGCCAGTGCCAGGAGGGGAGAGAATGGTGTACCAACGGAAGTGGGATAGGACCACAGACTTCTTGGTAGGATTTTCCTGTTTCTCTGAAGAGAAAAAAAGAAAACAAACTTGCAGCAAAGTTATTCATACTGAGATTTTCTTGACAATGTATAACCTCTCACAGAAATACTAGGATTATAAAATCTGATGGCAGAAAGGCAACCTTTTACCCCAAAGGAGTAGACTCGTAGGGATGGCATTTTATGCACCAGTGAGATCAAAGAAAGATATATTTAGGCTAGGGGAGCATTTTTCTGAGCCCCCCCTCCAGAAGTCATGGTTCTGTTGCATATAAGACCATCCCTAATGTGGGGGGAGGGCTGGAAGAACAGCTTCTTTTCCAGGCACAACTATAGTCACACAGCTTCGTGCTTGTCGGCTACCCCATGATCCTCCTCAGAATAGCATTCCTCTGAGGGACCCTGAGACCAGCTCTGCTTTGGACTATTTTTTTTCTGCCAGTTTCCGGCCAGGAACACTGAATGTGTTCCCAGGACCGTTGGTTTAGAAGCCCAGTCACCTTGGAAAATCTCGGAAGGGAGAGGGCACAGAACCAGGTGGCCTTCTAAAGATGCAAGAGGAGATTTGAATCCCATGTCCCATTTTTTTTATGCTACAACTACCCATTTTCATTCGATAAAACTGCGGATTACAAGTTACTTCTCCCACTTATTTATTTCTGAGACTGTGCACCCTTTACTTCACGTTATAAATTCGGAATGTAAGGACCCTGCTGTTCCACTGTACTATGAAGCTACCATTTGCATCCATGCCCTAAATAAACTAATTTATTATGATGATGAGTTTTGATTTTTATGGTTTTTAACCATGATCTTTGGGGGTGGCTTTTCCCCCATATATATATTTATTTACATATTAAGATAAATATATATATTTAAAATAAATGTATTTATAATATATAAATATAAATAAATATATATTTTAATTCTAGTATAAGTAACATACAGTGCTGTGTGAGGTTCAGATGTACAATATGGTGATTCAATACCTCCATACATCTCATTCTTAGAAAGAAAAATGGAGGCCAAGAGGGGTGAAGTGGCTTGTGCAATGTTATGGAGAGTACCCCAAGCTGGCATTTCTGACTCAGTGATCCTACCTCCCAGTTTAAAAAAAAATTATTTTCTTTAGTAGAAATTGGTGTGCAACATCCTGCTTTGATATATATATATATGACTACTACAGCCACTTTAATTAGCATCATCTCTTCACATAGTAACCATTTACTCTGTGGTGAGAACACTTGACATCTGCTCTCTGAGCAAATGTCCGGTATACAACCTAGTATGATTAATTACAGTCATCATGCTCTCTATCCATTAGATCTCTAGGCATAATTCATCTTACGGAACCTCAACTTTGTGCCCTTTGACCAACATCACCCCATTGCCCCCGCCCCTGAGCCCAGGTAACCACCGTTCTACTCTCTGCTCCTATAGATTTGATGGGTTTTTACATTTCACAAAAAGTGAGGCCATACAAGTTTTTTTTTTTCTTTCTGTATCTGGCTCATTTCACTTAGCGTGTTCATCCATGTTGTTGCAAGTTGGGGAAATGTCTTTTTTAGGGTTAAATACTATTCCATTGTATATGTACGTGCTTTATCCGTTCGTTGACTGACAGGATGTTTCCATACCTTGGCTATTGTGAATAATGCTGTAAAGAGCATGGGGTGCAAGTAACATGGGAGCCCAGATCTCTTCCAGGTACAGATTTCATTTCCTTTCCACACACCAGTATTAACACCCACTCTGTAAAAAGAGCACAAATTGTGAGATCGGAAAACTCTATTTTTGAGTCGGCTTTCCTGTTAAATAGCTAGGTGTTGTGGGCGGAATCTTTTTGGATGTCAGTAGCCTCGTTTCCTTAATTCTCCCATCACTCCATTAAGGCTATTAAAAGAATGAAATAAGAATAAATGGAAAGATATTTAGATAAATTTGTCATGTAAAACTAGCAGTAAGCATGCTTATAATCGTTTTTTTTTTCTTTGATTCTCTTTTGTCTTTTTCTCTTTTGCTTCCTCCTCCATCTCCCGTTGAGCTGATTAATAGATTCAATGCTAGGCAACTCTGAAGACCGTTGCAAGAAAGACTCTCAAGGAGAAAAAAAACCTCACCCTGCAGTTGCTTCCCCATTGACCTTTTTAGCAGCAGACTCAATTTGAAAGAAAATCAATCCACATTATTTTGAAGCAAAATAATTCCAACCTTTTTTTCCTTTTTTGGCATTCCAAAGATCTGTCAACTCCTGTAAGAGTCATGGTAGATATTCTTTTGTAGGTCATCCCAGTTTTCTTTCACCACAAAATACTGAGATTTGGTATAATTAGAGCCCAGGGGGGTAAAGAGGCTGGCCTCTGTCCTTTCTCCAGTGAGTTTCACTCCTGTCTACCAGCTGCAGCTATCTGGTTGTGTGTATTTGTGGGCAGGAGCAGGGGCTTAGGGTCAAATGGTATGAGTAAAACATTCTCTAGGAGCTAAGGTTTCTTCTTTCTTTTTTCTTTTTTGAAAGATTTATTTTACAGGGAGCATGTAAGCAGGGGGAGGGGCAGGGGGAGGGAGAGAGAATCTCAGACTCCTGCTGAGTGTGGAACCTTAGTTGGGGCTCAATCCCTGGATCTTGAGATCATAACCTGAGCCAAAATGAAAAGAGTTGGATGCTTAAGCAACAGAGCCATCCAGGTGTCCCTAAGGCTTCTTCTTGTTAAGGAACTACTTTTGTATCCTGTACAGAGTCGTTAATAAGTAGTGAGTTACTCAGAAATTGCAGCCAGATCAATTTATAAAGCAAAGTGTAGAGTTGAGTTAGTTATGCAAATTGCTGAAGCCAAAGTAAGTGTAATAGCAGTTTTCTGGTTAATGTAGGCCAAAACATTGTAGAGAGACAACATAGCCTTCCTGTTCCATTGGTTTTGGTTTTAAAATTAAATGGTCCCTTCCTTGTTACAGGTTTGATGTGATTGACACTGCCCTTGGTGTAGTGGTAAGGTTGGAAGATTCTAAAATCAGTCCGACATCAGTTCAGATTTTGGTGCTACCACTTGCAAATTGTGTGACCTGGAGCAAGTCAGTTAATTTCTTAAGCCTTACTTTCCCCGTCAGCAAAATGGGCATAATCATGTCATTTTAGAATATTATTGGTAAAAACCAATGTGAGCATGTATGGAAAAGCACTCACCACTGTGCCTTGCATATTAATTAGGGCTCAGTAAATGTTAGCTATTATTTTATTATTATTACTATTACCATTAGCCTTTATCATTTTCACCTACATCCTACGGAAAATTTCTTTTTTTTAAGATTTTATTTATTTATTCATGAGAGACACACAGAGAGAGGCAGAGACATAGGCGAGGGAGAAGCAGGCTCCTTGCAGTGAGCCCAATATGGGATTTGATCCCCGGATCCTGGGATTACGCTGAGTCAAAGGCAGACGCTCAACCACTGAGCCTCCCAGGAGTCCCTCTAAGAAGAATTTTATTCTGTTTTTTCAAAGGGTGAAAGATTTATACAATCTGAAGGGAAAACAGAGTATCATTCTGTTTTTTTAAACAGTTGTATTTATACTGAGGTATAATTAACCCATAAGATGAACTCATTTGCATTATACTTTTGACTCATAGGAAGGAAGGGATGACAGTCTAATGTCTAAGCCTTCCCCTAGTGAAACACACAACTCCCCTGATTTCTCTTCCACTGTTCTACAGAGGGCACTTTCCAAGCCCTATTTAGATCTATTGTTAATTTGTACATAAGTGATGAGTTTAATCTGGGGGCTTGTTCATTGTTGGGTGTGTGTATGCACGAGTTCGTGAGTATGTACACACAGGCACATACACCATGCATTTTAATGAAGCCCGGTAAAAAGAGTTCTTGAGACCATTCACTTAGAGCCAAGTCCCCAGGTGCATTGGTACATTGGCTTTTTGCTACATGGCCACCCTGCACTAGATGCCACAGAGAAAAGAGACCTGTAAGGTAGAGTCCTGGTCCTTAAAAAGCAATACATCTGCATGTATACAGAGGTTGACAGAAAAAAAATGGAGTTTAGGGTCATCACATACTACATCTGGGACTTCAGAGAAGTCAACCTCAAGTGAAAAATGAAGTTAAGCCTTACTTGATTGATAGGGTTGTTATGAGGCTCCCTGGTAATAATTTGTATGAAATCTCTTTGTAAATTTTTGGCTAGGTGACTATAATTCACAAATGGGAGTTATAGTAACATTCAGGTGCCGGTTTGTGCACTTTGGAAATGACATGTATTTCAAGGTCCAGATTATGGGCTGGAGCTATGCGGGGATGCTTCCTAGAGGAAAAGGAACTTTTCCCAAGCCTTTAAAATCAGGACTGCAGTAGGTGGAAAAGAGTGGGAGGAGGGGGGTGATCTTGGTGGTGGTATTTAAAATAAGCAAAGACTCTCTGTCACCTATATATTAAAAAAAAAAAGGCAAGGACTCCAGAGGCCGGAATAAGCATACAAACACATGCCAAGTGATACAAAACATGGGAGGAGGTAAGGTTACCAAGGTAGTTGTAATAGATGATTCTTCTTCTGAAAGAACTCCCTCCTTCCAGCCAAGTTAACATGTTATTCGCCTGGTCTCTTAGCTCAGTGCAGGCAGGGGTCTTGTCCTTCTCCGATTTCTCTCTAGTGCCCATCACAGAACCTGGCACATAGTAAGCATTCAATAAATGCTCAACAAATGAAAGAATAGATGGATGGTCATGTCCCTTGCCATTCTTGTCTGGTTGCTTTCATATTATCTAAAGTCATCAGCTACTGAATCGGGGGTTATCTTGAACTCCCTCTATGTGGTACAGCCCCCTCTGCTGTTGGGATTTATGAAATTCTCTGCAGTGATGCCAATACTCGGTGTGGTTTTTCTCCGCTCTGTCCTAGAAGACTCCCTACCCCCAGCGAACAATAAGGTGACCAGCAAGTCCTGTGAATACAACGGGACTACTTACCAACATGGTGAGCTGTTCGTGGCTGAAGGGCTCTTTCAGAACCGGCAACCCAATCAGTGTACGCAGTGCAGCTGTTCGGTAAGACCCAGCGTCTTCTCATTCCTGCTGGCCCCTACCCCAATACCAGAGCTTCTCCAGTGCTTACACCTTTGCTTTGAGCCTACACAGTGAGTTGTTTGAAAGGAAGACAAATTGCATTTATTTGTTTAAAAGATTTATTTACTTGAGAGAGAGCGCGAGTGTGTGCACAAGTAGGGGGAGGGGCAGAGAGAATCTCAAGCGGACTCCCTGCTGAGCGTGGAGCCCCACATGGGGCTCAGTCTGACAAGCCTTGAGATGGCGACCTGAGCTGAAACCAAGAATTAGACACTCAACCAACTGAGCCACCCAGGTGTCCCAAGACGAATTGCATTGAAATCCTCAGCCTCCCTGTTAATCTAGACTCCCTGAATTTCACAAACCCTGAACAACCCTGACCTCTGTTAAAGAAATCAGACCCTGTCATATCCTGGTCTTAAAGCTTTGGGACTGTTTAAATGGATAGACATGACCTGATGGTCTTGATCTGCCATCCTTTTCACAATAGTCACCCCAGCAAAGCCTTCATCAGAGGGACTCAACTATTCGAAGCTTTGGGGATGCTGTGGCTAGAAAAGCCATTGGCACCATCGAAGGCCACTCAGTCCAATTCACAAGAAAATGGGGATCTCTTGGTTCCCATCTCTTATGTCTTCTCCCAGCCAGTTTTCTCTGGATAACTTGCAGTGAGAACGCTCTGAGCAAAACATGATTGTTCCTGTGATATCACTTGTCAGAAGAACCGTATATACCTTAGGAATAAAGTGTACTGATTATATCTTCATGCAATTGTGCAGTTCAAAGAATGTAATAGGTAGGACCAGAAAATGGAATAAAATGGTTGTTTCAACTGAAGTGTGAAGCAATGAAGTTAAAATTAGGATTTTTTTTCTGTAAAGGCATTAAACACTGGATTGCCAAGGGAAGTTCTAGAATCCCTTCCCTTGGGGACTTACAGTAAAAATACGGTATCTTGGTGGTTTGGGAGAATTTGGTTGTGGCCTTGCCCTCCTAATGACTTTTCAGGGAGACTTCTAGCCCCAGAATAATATGCTTATAAGAACAAGTTTTAAGGAAGGATGTTTGGAACATAGAACTTTAGGGAGTGGAAACTATGTCAAGACAGACATAATAGCAGGTAAATTTGATCCTCTCCCTTGCCTGGTGCTGAACTGGGGAATCCATTCACATCGTCTTGTGTAGTTTTGTATTACCCCAAACAGCCAGTCTCCCTGGTTTGGAGTGTTATAAAAGATGGCTGTCATACAAATCTGCATTCCCTGGAACCCCAATATCCAGCTGGGGTGTGATGTGGATCAGGAAATACAGTGAACAGAGAAGACAGGAGCAAGACCATATTTTGGGGTTTGGCAGGCCAGTGGCAGCCCTAACACTGACTGCTTTGTACCATCTTAGACCAGGATGTCCAACAAGGATTGCCAATTCTTCGGTAACATAGTCTCTGATGTGGAGAAATAGTAAACAGAAAAAAAATAAAGCATCATAACATTTAGGAAGCTCTAGAACTAACTATGGGAGAGCTCTGGGAATGGGTGGCATGTTTTGGATTCCTACTCATCCCAGGTCCTGAGCTAAGAAGACTTTATGCTTCTACCCAGATCCTTCTGACCTTAAATTCTGTTTCTCCTTGGCAGGAGGGGAATGTGTACTGTGGTCTCAAGACTTGTCCCAAGTTAACCTGTGCATTCCCAGTCTCTGTTCCGGATTCCTGCTGCCGGGTATGCAGAGGTATGTGTCCCATATCACAAGACATAGGGGTGCTGCCATCCTGGATAGCTGTCCAATGTCGTAAGAAAGGGAATTTTTTTGTGGAAACGTTAGGTTTTAGCTGGGGTGGAGAGGAGGGCAATCCATTCAAAAAAGAGAGGAAAGAAACACTGATTTTAAGGGCCACCACCTGAAAGAAACTGCCCTAGCATGTGGCAGAAGAATAAGAGTGAGTGTCATCTACTGAGAAAGTGAGTGCCTATATCTTTTCTCCCTTGATCACTTTTAGCTGGGCCTCTGTGTTACTGAATTGTGAAACATAGGCCATTTCCATGAATAGCCTTAACAGGAAGAATGGGCCTTGCAGAGCCCTGGTGTGACCATTTTGAAGACTCTGCAGGGAAAATCTAGGTATATTCTTTAAAGCCCCACAGTCAAATGGTGACAAACTCAGTAAAAGCAAAATGGAAGGCAGAAGGTGTCATCTTCTCAGATTATAGCCAAAATGGCATCATTGTTCTCAAGCCAGTGTTTTTTTGTTTGGTTTCCATTTCTTTGATAATGACGCCATTTCTATCCTCTCAGATCGAGCATAATCACCTTTAATTTCTCCTTTATTGCCTCTTCTCAAATCATTAAATCTATCAGCTGTCTTCTCTATCCCTTTCCTTTCTGGCTTTCCCTCTAGCAGTATTCTGATTTTGTCTTCTTTCCTTCCACCCAATCGACATATTTATTGAGCATCTACTGTAAGCTCAGCCCAGTGCTAGAAGCTAGATACGTATCGGTAAGTAGAGTAACCTACAGGGCACTGCTAGACTCCAAGGCATCTTTATGCAAATTACAAAGAGAATTATTTTTTACTTAAGAGACTTTACTGCCATTTTCTTTTTTTAAAATTTTTTTTATTTATTTATGATAGTCACAGAGAGAGAGAGAGAGGCAGAGACACAGGCAGAGGGAGAAGCAGGCTCCATGCACCGGGAGCCTGATGTGGGATTCGATCCCAGGTCTCCAGGATCGTGCCCTGGGCCAAAGGCAGGCGCCAAACCGCTGCGCCACCCAGGGATCCCCCTTTACTGCCATTTTCCAGAAAGTCCTTGTTAATGCACCCCTTCTGTGCAGCACATTTATGCAGCACATACCCTCTACAACCAGATATGGCATACATAGCAGCAAAAACCCATTCTTCACTCTTGTGGAACTCACATTCTACCAGAGAAGACAAATGATAAACAAATAAATAAAGATTGAAACAGTGTACTTGCATTTTTCTTCTCTGGACTGTAGTAATTGTAGTCCAAGCTGGCTGGAGATGAGGCTGAAGAAGTGAGCGGGGGTCAGACCATGCAGGACCTTCAAGGCCATGGGATGGAGTTTGCATTTCAGTTTTTAAATACCTTGGGAAGCCACTGGAAGGTTGTGAGCAGGGCATGACATGAACCAGTTGATGTCTTAAAAGATCTCATTGGCTGTTGTATCCATACTAGATTGGAGGGAGGCCGCAAAGCAAGGGGAGAGCCCAGGAAGAAGGCGAGTGTAGTAGCCTGTCTCGTGTGAAAGGGCAGGTGTCTGGTTTGGGGACACAGTACAAACTAGTGGTTCACACTGGAGCCTCTGGAACCAGCTGCCTCGGCTCTGAGCCCAGTCTTGCTACTTTCCAGCTGGATCATGAGCAGTGCATTCAGCCTTTCTAACAATCTCTAAAGGGAGGATAATGTTAGTACTTACTTCGAAATGCCTGTGAGGTTTAAATGAGATCTTGCAGGAAAAGGACCATTTAGAATATACATCAATCCCCTGCCTCAGACAGTGAAGGCCTCTCACACTGTAGCTTCAACTTACCTTTCTAGCCCATATTCTTCCATTCCCGCACCTTAGGTTCTTCTCTCAGTGTTCCTGTGCTGTCTTACCTTTGTGCTTTCACTACCCACCCACCCCCCCGCCAGCAAGATTTCTCCAACATTAGTGTGCTTCAGAATCACCTGGAGAACTTTCAGATCCTCAGACAACAATTGCAAGATTGTGATTCAATGGCTTTGGGGTGGGGTCCCGGCATGTACATGTGGGCAGGCCCCATTGTCCACTTGGAGGCAGGTGGCCCGTAGACTCTGCTTTAAGAACCTATTCCTAAGACCATGTAGATGACTGGAGGCAGGCAGCCCTAACAATGGTTCATATTTGGGTTTAGTGCACTTAAACTGAGCACATTAAAAATCTGAAAACTGAAAGCAGTAGAAAAGTAACAAATGTCATTCTGACTGGCCAGAGGATCTAATTCCAACTATATGGCAACTGACTTTGGGATGAATGAGTCACAGCCATTTCATGATAGGGAACTAGGAGGTCAAGGGAACAAAATGGATGCCTAGGTACAAACTGACATGGACAGCAAGATCTTGGAGGAGGGAAACTTGCCTTTTTTCTGGAAAATCCTTTTCCTTTCATCTCTGCCTATGGAAATCCTACAAGTTTCCCAAGACATAGCTCAGGTACAACCTCCTCAGATTCCGATGCAGGCAATCCTCTGGCCACATCTCGATAAATACTAGACAGAAGGCCTTTCTCTCTCCTCTGCCTTCCCCCTGCCATCCTTAATTTCTCCATCCTGAATTCCCGCTTATCCAAAGGCCAGTCCAACTGCCACTTCCTATATGAAGCATTTTTTTTAAATCTATAAGTGAGGAGTAAACCACCTTCCTTTCTGAGACTCCACAGCACTTCCTGGGTGCTTCTCTAGTAGCATTTATCACTTCATTACCTTTTGTTTTTTATTATGTGTGCCCATGTCCTATCCTCCCTATCAATTATGAGCTTCTTTTTAGAGATCTTATTTATTTATTTATGACAGACAGAGAAAGAGAGGCAGAGACCTAGGCAGAGAGAGAAGCAGGCACCCTGAGGGGAGCCCGACATGGGACTCGATACCAGGACCCCGGGATCATGACCTGAGCCAAAGGCAGATGCTCAACCACTGAGCCACCCAGGTGTCCCCAATTATGAGCTTCTTAGGACAAAGGCTATTTCTGGTTCATCTTCTTCCCCCTGCCCCCCCTGCACTGCTCTAGGTACAAAGTAGGCGCTCTTTGAATGAATGCACACTAGCTTGGAAGTACTGCCAGAAAGTGATAGTTTGAATTAGATGCACCTGACATATGATATTATTGCTGTGTTTTCTGCCTCTGAATTACTGACAGGCTGTGGTAGGGGTGGTGCTGGCTGTACATTGATTCATGGTCGGTAAGAAATCATTTGGTGTCATTTCTGATGACCAGGTACTTTTCCAACCCCATCACACTTCAGGAAGTGACCTCGTTCTGAGTACCAGTTTATGCTCATCCCTTTTCTTATGCCCTTTCTAGTGGTCCTCACAAGTCAGTGTGGATTTCATGAGAGCCTCATTTGGTTTGCCTTGTATCTCTCTATGATGCTTTCTCACAGTGAGGGTGTCCGTACATCCATACAGCTATGACATTTAAGCCAGAAAAGATGAGCATTTTGTTCCTCATCTCCCTATCTTTGCCCCCACCTTAATTTGAGTCTGCTCCAAAGGGAAGAGAATCCGCACAGAGTACACGCGCTTGCTCACATCACCAGCTAGTTGCTATAATCCACTTGTCAGATTGAGATTATATTGTTTGAAGCAAAGGAAACCGTGAGAAATCTAAACTGAAGAACAATGAATAAAAGAAAGGCAGCTGCCAAAAGACATACTATTGCTCCTGAGAAAAGGCGTGGTGCCACGGACATAGGCTCTGAAGCCAGAAGGACACAGATTTGATGTAACTGAGCTTCCGCCTACTAGTGATACCTCTGGCAAGCTGCTTACCTACATGGAACCTCATTTTTTTTTCAGCTCTGAAAATGGAGCTTATAATACCTAACACCTATGGAAAGGTAAAAATTAACCAAGGTGATGTAGAGAGCTAGGAAAGTCTTTTTCTTTTCCTTTTTAATTTAAAGATTTTATTTATTCATGAGAGACACAGAGAGAGAGAGGCAGAGACATGGGCAGAGGGAGAAGCAGGCTCCCTGTGGGGAGCCCGATACGGGACTCAATCCCAGGGGTCCTAAGCCGAAGGCAGATACTCAAACACTAAGCCACCTCAGCTTCCCTAGGAGAAATTCTGATACAGAGTTATTGCTTCATATGAAATAATTATTATATTTCACACAATATTATTATATTTATTGGCCGGAGTTGAGTATGATTGCACCCTCTCCTCTATGTGTGATAGTCTTGCCTTTTTCTTTACTTAATCTCCACACACAGAATTTAATTTCTCATCCCTCTTGTGGTAACAGATCCTGGGGCTCACCATCTTCTCAGCGATTCTCTTGTCACAATTTAAATTTCCTTTCTTTTATCATGTCCTCAAAAGCAATGCATAAAAGCGAGCTGTGACGGATCCTGTGTTGTCCCTTCATACACTTGACAATTCCCGAAGTTCTTTCTCCACTATCTCTCCTCCAGCCTAAATAAACTCTTCTCTTTCATCTTTCCCTATGAAGACTAAATCCCACACTTTCATAAAATTGATGCTTTTCTCTTTGCCTCGAATTTCTTTCCATCTTTCAGTTGCATATAATGTGATTGAATCTCCTTTGAAGTGCTAATGTTGGAAGCACCTTGTTATTTTTTTTTCCTGCTGAGATGGTGTTTTTACAAAGGTGTATCTTGCATAAGCGTATTACTCATACAGCTGGGAATGCAGACACACTTCTCCCCTATGCTGACCACCCTAATTGCAGACAAATACTGCAGGAGAAATACCCTTTTAAGTGCTGAACTCACGAACGTTAATATAAAGGGCCCTATTTGAACAGGTTCTTTCTCTGCGCTGTCACCCAACACAGATGTGTGCTCTCTTCCTGGGTCACATGGCAGTATTAGCCACAGACTGGATCTCAACCCCAGCTCCAGGGCTTTTGACTGTCCCTGAGGCTAGGAGTCAGGAGAAAATTGGCATGTCATTGCTGGCACTTCAGCAAACCTCTTCTGTACTGGAAATGGAGTGCAA